ACAGCACCTTTGCCAGACATCGCCACCGCAGTCTGGACAACACCCTGCAGAGCACCCTGCACAGCACCCTGCACAGCACCCTGCACAGCACCTTGGCCAGACTTCGCCACTGCAGTCTGGACAGCACCCTGCACAGCACCGTGCACAGCACCTTTGCCAAACTTCGCCACCGCAATCTGGACAGCACCCTGCACAGCACCGTGCACAGCACCTTTGCCAAACTTCGCCACCGCAGTCTGGACAGCACCCTGCACAGCACCTTTGCCAGATTTCGCCACCGCAGTCTAGACAGCACCCTGCACAGCACCCTGCACAGCACCTTTGCCAGACTTCGCCACCGCAGTCTGGACTGCACCCTGCACAGCACCCTGCACAGCACCCTGCTCAAAAGTTCGCCACCGAAGACCCCACCTTTGAGAAGTAAGAACCCCTATAGCTTGCCAGCTATCTGGGGAAATATTCCAAATCGGGCAATAATCCAGCCAGAATCTGTTTTGTTGTTTTTTTTGCGGCCAGACTCTGAGATTAGCTGTGCACAAAAAAAGTGGTCTAGAATGGCGGGAATTGATGTTTGTTTGCCTTTGTTTTAGGCCAGAACCCTTACTTTTGATGATTTGTGCACTCGTGTTTTCGATCGCATGGCGAGTCTTCCATTTCTCAACATGGCCTTAAAGCCACCTCGATGGAGGGTGACATGTTTTTGTTGGACAGCACCTTGTGCAGACAATGGCACATGGATGTCGAAATCTCCCTAGTTACATGTGAACATCACAGCTTTGACCCATTCTCAACACAATATATATATATAGAATATACAAACATATCCCCATGTTTGTTGGTATAAATTCATATGTATGTTTCTGAAATCCTTCAAAAGATCCGAGCAGAAAACCCAAATATCATCGCTTTTGGAGGAAGGCCCCCGGTTTTGGGTTCAGCCCTGGCCCTTTGGAAATCTGCCCGGCCAGAATACGCCGTCCCTGAGCCAAAGCCTGAAGTTCCCAAGTTCGCGTTCGGGAAGCCCAGTGTTCCCACGCTGGTGAGTAGAAGGGGTAGGCGTAGCAGTTTGAATGGGGAAAATGATGGGTTCATTTGGGCATCATCAATTTCCATATTGAACGGCGATAGTTCGGGGTATACCAAGTGTCCATACGCAATCATTTAGCTAATATATATTGTTTGTAAATGTCGGTCATACATATTCTCATTGCGCAATGGAAGAAATGGAAATCTCTGAGTTTTGGGTGAATGCGCTTATTTTGAAGATTACAACGCATCGTGTCCCATAGTTTCTGAAGATGGTTTACGTGTCGGTCCATAAACATTCATGTAACAAAAACACTACACAATGAATATAGTTGCATGGGTGAAAAAATAAATAAATTTGCAACTGAATGGACTCATCCACTCCTGGAATGTGTTTGGTTTGGTCCCAAACAAGAGATTTTCTCAAACTGCGAAAGGATCCCCTGGTGGGGTGACACCCCTGGTTGCACCAAAATAGTTGGGACTTCTGGATATTCATCCCCCATATAATTATGTGTTATATATGTGGGTGTTCTCTAAAATGGGGGATCCCCGGTTCAATACTAAAATACCTTTAAATTTGGATGATTTGGTGTATCCCTGTTTCAGAAAACCCCTAGTCACATATATGTATCTATATGTATAGTGGATGTGTATGTGTATGTATACATATATACATATATATATATATTATGTATATATTAGGTGTTGATCCATCCCTGTATGAGAAATAAGCCTACATCATCCTACATAGACGGGAAATCGACCCACATGTTGTAAAGCGTGTGTGCTTTTGGCGGGACATGTGGAGTCTATTCAAACATAGCCACTCTAAAGGATGGTCACTCAATCACAGCTGCTGCTGGCCCCTTGGGATCCTTGAAATCTCACAGGGCAGTTCAGCAACAACAATGTCTACAACTGGGTGGGAAAGCCAGCAAATTGATGCAGGGGCCACAGATCACCATGATCTTTGGATTCCCAGGGCATGGGATGACCATAAAGCCTATGTACCCATGTAACCTGACCCTAGGACATTTTTGTTTGTGGGTGGTTTCCTTAACTGGGAACAATCAAATCACCACATCCAAGCTATCAAATTATTGGTCATCATATACTCCCATAATGTTCCATATGTTTGCTGGGGAAGCCATAAAATCTATATAGCGTTGTGTTATTGCGTGTGGGGCAATGGACAAATGTAAAGAAAGACCTGTACCGACATACAGAACTAAACAGATACAGGTAGATATGATCAGACATATAGTGTGTAGATTGGACATGTTCGGCAAAGAGAATGACATCAGCTAAGCTTAGCCCAGATTAGTGAATGTCCCTTGGTCACTTCCCAGGAAGAGGCCCAATACCTTCCAGCAGAGATTTTGGGGGTGTATGCGGTATGCTTGGGCAAGCGTTTCCTTAGTACCTGCTGAAAGTTACTGTGAACAACTCAGTCATAGGTGAAAATTTCTACATGAGCTATGAGTTATAAGCTATGTTTCTGGTGTTTATCCATACCTCCAAAACATGGTTTAAGGGTAGTCTGGCGACATACCCAGGAGGGCAGCAGATTGGTTGGATGCCGGACTTAAGGAGTCCTTGTGAGCTGTGACAATGTGCCATGGCGGGATACGCAGGATGGAGAATCATCTCAATCGACCTAGGGTCACCAGGCTTCCAGGCGGTTCAACTTACCGGGATCCTCCAAGTATGGATACCATGAAGGGTTCGGCATCCGGAAACCTCTCCTAGCTCTTTCCGGGCTCAGTGTTGAACCAGTGGATTCAGGAGTACCTGATTTTTGGACAAAACCACATAGATATCTGTCCCTTGCCAGAGTTGTTTGGAGGTATCTGTATCTCCGACAGTCTGGTGGACCACCAAGCGGGGTTGGGGGAAGGGTGAGTCTACATATTGTGGAATGGTTACCCTGAGACCTTGCACTAGAATTCATTATAATTTCATCATAAGCCACTTAAGATGAGTTTTCGAAACCATTACTCATTCAATGGAACTCTATAGCTTGACAAAGAGTAGAATCTTGCCTGGAGGTGCCCACGATACAATATTTGCTTTGTTTACCAAGACATGCGAAATCGAAGACATGCCGATATAATTATCTGGGAAAATTGTAACGATGTCACCACAACGTCACGAGAAATGACGTCACTAGGACTGCGGGAACTATCCTGAAATGAAATGTCCGAACGTTTCAGGATGTTTCAGGTATTTGACCCAGATTTATCACACCTTTTACGGACCCCAAGATGAAAAACAGTTTGTTTTTTTTGCATATCTTCTATTTGCAACGAATTTTGGGTAAGGCACATCCTCCTTATGAGGTTCCCAACCCCGCGAAATACAATACACCCGGTACAACCATATCCTAAAAGCTGGGAGTCGCAAAAAACTTCCGGCTGGATACCAAGTTTGATTCAGTTTGACACATGGCTCTTTCTTAGGACGGCTTTTTGGTGCCGTAGCCTAGTTTTTGCAGCGCTTAGGCTCAAGAACCAGGTTTTCCAGCCAAATCTTAATTTTTCCCAGGATATGGAGGTACAGGGTATATTATATATATATAATTATATATATATTATACACATATATAGCACATATATATATATACATGTATAATTATAAGGTTTCGGCTGCAGGTGAGATCTGTAGCCCCACGGCCTGACTAACCTGAGCGGTTCGCCACGGAGCTACGAACCGCGGGCGCCGCCGTCTCGCAAGCGCCTTTGGCTGTGTTGTGCTCTGTCACCACTGAGCTGGGTGACATCACCTTTGCTTCAGCTCTTTGACTTTCTCGCCAGGGATTTCAAGGACCTTGCGGTGATTGTCAACACCCTTGAACATCTGTTCAGGGACGGGTTCCTGGGACACTGCCACAAACCAGGAGGGTTTCTACAATCTGGTCATTTTATAACTCTGGGGATTGATCTCTGTTCACGGCTTGGACACACTGATCTCTCGGGATTTATATTTGGCTGGTTTTTCTTCGTTTGCTACAATTTTGATTGGGGGTCCTTTTGACCTACATGCTCTTTGTGATTGTCTTGCTCTACGTGAACTTGGTCTTCTCGAAAGATTACACCTTCACAGAGAAGGCGCTCGAGGCGCCAAAGAGCCCAGGCCAGGTTTGCCTGGCACTTACACAAAAAGCGCCTGAGATCTTTGTCGGGTCGACAGCTTTTTCGTGTATACAGACTTTTACAGGCGCATCACACCAAGGACCCAAGTTTGCTTCATCGTTTACATCAAGCCATGTGGAAATCCAAGGATCCCTGGCGTTGTCTACATTGCAGCAAACTGAACAGGTTCAATGTGAATTGCTGTGGAGATTGCGGAGGTCACTGGGAGGATTTCATGGACCATACCTTCGTACCACCCAGCCAGCAGAACAAGAGCAATTCGAAAGCGACCAGATCTTCCAACCAGACCTCGAACAGACAGGCCTATGCTTCATGGAATTATCCAGAACCCTGGACTGGAGAGGACGAAGAGTGGGATTATCACTCAAGCAGATCGAGCTCACCCAGGCAACGGACTCAGTCTCCAAGGCAGCGTCAGGAGCCCAGGCGACAACGCAAGCCCAATCAGAATCAGAGAGGCAGAGGAGCCGGGAAGGGCAAGAATCAAATGAAAGGAGGTGCGAAAGGCAAGGGCAAGGGCAAACCTGCCATCGAGCTGCCTCCATGGACTACCAATGCAACCACATCTACATCAGCTTCAGCGGCGGCACCATCAGCTGGACCGACCAAAGCGGAGGTGAAACTCATGGAGATTGTCAGCGTTCTGAAAAAGAAGGACGATCCAGAGCTACAAACCTTAGCCAAGGAAGCCGATGTTTTGCATCACAAGAATGCGACCTCCAAGTTGCACAAAGCAGTCACCATTCATGGAGACGCGAAAACCATGCCTCATGGAAGCAGTATCTCGAATCAGCGATCGAGACGGGGAAAAGCTTTGTGATGGACTTCGACAAGGAGGACCGCAAGTTGGAAGAGCAGATCATCTTGGCAGAGACCGCACTAGCCACTGCACAAGAGGCGCTCGACGATGCGAAGAAGGTTGCAACAGAAGAGGAGTTGAAAGATCAAGTAGAAACCATCGAAGACGAGGAGGAAGCAGTGGACCGCACGGTCAAGACAAGCCAGATTATGAGAGAGGGACTCTCTGGTATGTTGGATGGCCTTGTCCAACTCAAGGCTCGAACAGAGGACATTGGAGAGGAGCAGGGCAACAAACGTCAACGCACAGACGACGGTTTGGCCAAGTCCTCGGCAATGCAGCCTTTTGGTGGGGCCGGTCGCTAGGCCGTGAGGTTAGCGGCCCATGGCCAATAGGTATGTGTGACGCCCTTATGAAATGGAGTCACTCAATCCAATATGAAGCGAACTTCATGAGTGAATGGCAGGCCTATGACAATGCGATGGCTCTTTCTTTCCAAATGGGGAGTTGGAATCGGAGCTCTTCGACCTTCATGCCTAATACCCTTTGTGATACCAGAAACCACCATCGAGCCTTTTCTGTCTCATTCGGGCCTGAAGTGGAAATTGCTTTCTTTCCTCCTGATGAAGATGCTTGCTTTTTTCAATCACATTCCACGACCATGACATTGACCTCGTTGGCATCATGGACGCATGCTGAAGGTAAGCCCTGGAGTTCCAAAAGAGTTCGTCCCAAACGACGAAACAAATCCTCTTCCTTCTCAAGTGCGACCTCTGATAGCACTATCACTATGACTTCGAATGGGGATTCACCACATGGCAGCACTCAGCCTAGAGCAGTGCAGCCACCATTGCCGGACCAGACCTGGCAAGACACAATATGGGATCTACTACAAACCGAAGGAAGACCAGACATTGATGACGATGATTTCTTGAAGTCGTACTACCTTGACCATGTCGGTCATCAACACAGTGGACCCTCCAGGCCTATCAGATGTTCCACTGACTATACAAACTGGGAGCAAGATGTACGTTTTGTCTGGGAGGATCATGTGATTGCTCACTTGCCGATTGATTTGGTCTTCGTTAAACCTCAGCCACCAGCCCTGCAGGCTGACGGCACTGTGGCCACAGTCATCGTACATCAAAACCCTGTACCTCCAAGAGTGCCGTGTCTCATCACTGCCGTCCTCATTGATGATCCCAACACTCGCATTCTTGAGATGGCTCACTCAGTTGTACCTTTGTTGCCACCAAATGATGTTCTCCACCTTGGTGGCGTTGCAGACACATGTCGTCAAAGAGAACAAGAAGGTCCTGATTCATGCACCCTACATGTTGGTTTTCGTCTTCTTCCACGGAACCAAGCCATTATTGTAGAGGAGGGCATGGGTATCACTATCAGAGTACCTTCTCGACTTTCTTCTGCAGAAGCTGAACAAAATCTTGTTGCACGGGTCCAACAGCTCCGTGACAACCATCCCAGACATGAATGGAATGATCCAGAACAGGAACGTCCAGAAGAAACACATCCAGCCCCTGCGGGTCTTGGAACAACGGCACCACAGCCTGAAGATGTCACATCCTTTATGGCCAGATCACTTCACAGCTCCAGAAGTGCTGCGGACAGTGACTCAGATTCCTCTGTCCCCACACATGACATGGATGCAACAGATGAATCTCCAAGCCACATTGACGCCGAGAGCTTCTTGACTGTCATTTTCAGCTTGGATGGACAAGAACGCCAGATCGACGCACCATGGGATGATGGAGATCTTCTTTGGGAACTCACTGCAATCCAATTCGAGATTAACATTGCTGATGTCGTTTTTCTATATCATGTAGATCATAGACCTGCAGACATTGCACAGGAAGGTCTTGAATGCCTACTTCTGCAACGACAACAAGATGCCCCATCAGTCAACTTCCTCAGACTATGTCTCGTTGACGTTGAGTACAAAGCTGACGCCAGAGGATCACAACTGCGAATTGACCGCAGACCAAAATGGATGCCCCGCAGAATTAACAGAGCATCCATCATTCTACTTGCTGGCTTTGGTGGCTTTTGCGCCCTGTCACCGAGCAGGTGTGACGTTTGGATCAATAGCACACCTTTGGAAGTAAATGCGGATGTTCACGAGCTTCGACATGGAGATTATATCCGCATTGCGGTACCTTCCCATCCAGATGATCCTGCATCCGGCTGCGGTAGTACAACTCGTGATTTTCCACAGGTACACCTTGACGATGACCTGATGGATCTGGGGCAAAAAATTGTACGCCACAAACGTGTTGTCTTGCAGGACATCAGTAATGTCTATGACTGCAAAAATCGTCAGTGCAGACTTCCTGATGGCAGTGAGTGAGAAGGTGCCTCATTTGTCAAGCCTCTCATTCCTCCTGATGTACCAGGACGGCCAGAACTTCAATTTGGAGACCACCTTGAATGTCTCGATGCATTGCACCGAACTTGGGCTGTGCATTCAGCAATTGAAAGGGAGGACGAGGGCAGGGTCTTGTACATCTCGACTTGGTTTCCGGATGCTGGACGTTGGCCTGAGTGTGATGAATCTCGACCAGTGAGACTCTTGCAAGACTTTGGACAATGGGCAGATGCCATTGCTGAAGCGTGGGATGATCGACTGGATCCTGACTGCCCTGTCCACCTCTACCTCATCACTCCACAACCAAGATCATCTCTGTGGATGCCGGAAGTACTAACTACCGCATGTTCTTGTGCTGCAGAATCCTGTGGCTCATTCCAAGAGCATTCACATTGCGACACTCAATCCTGCCAGAGGAGATCAAGGCAACTCTGGATGCATTCGCATTGTCCCGACACAACTCTGGAGGGCACACATCCTCGAAGCAGCTGGTATTCTGCAATTTTGTCGTCCAGGGCATGTTGACTGCATGGTATGGTGGGGAGAATTTGAGCTCAGAGATGGACAGCAGTATCAAGCTCGACATGGCTTCTCCTTCTCGATCATCAGGAACAACATCGCTGATATCAGCGCATCAAGTGGTGAGCACTCTGCCCTTGCGAGAGTTGAGACGGATGGTCCTGCTCTCCTACAGACCAATCTCCACTTGCACAAGAAGAAGATTTCACTTGAAGAACTTGTGCCAATTGTACCACCTGAAGCCACTCCTATGCCTTTCGCCTCATTGCAGGTGCACCTATGGCTCCTCTGCCCACTTATGTGGAATGTCCTTCTTCAGGCACTTCTAGTGAGATTCAACTTGAACTCCGACATTGGGGCCACATCTGCGATGTTTACAAGTTTGGAAGTCATGATGTTGCACTTTGTGTACCGAAAGGGTGGAAAACGTCGACAGAACTGACCCATTACATGTTCTGCCGCACCAACACGGCGGATATACAGGGAGCTTTCATGCATAGCAGTGAAAAAGACCTCACCACTGTTGAGCTCATGAGTTTCTTGTACCTTTGTGGTTACTGGCGTGCAACCATCATTGATGTCAATGTCCTGGAGTGCGGTATTGTTCAGGTTGACTTCGAAAATGTAGTTGTTCAAGTGCCTTGCCCAATCAAGTCAAGCAAACAGGCACCAACATGGCCACCGCCGATTGCAATTCCATTGAGCATAGGGCCTTTCTTTCACATTCCAACAGCAGTTGCTGACACTGACTGTGTGATTGGATATGGCCTCACTCTGCAGGAAACCATCCGATTCTTCTCATCCACAGATGACATGCTGTGTCGAAATCCAGAAGGATATGAGTTTCCAGCCACCACAAAGGCTGCGTTGAAACTCAGTGCCTCGACCAACTTGGAGGACTATGACCGCATTGTGATCTCTGCGGACGGTTCCTCTCACGCCAAGGCCAAACACAAGCCGGCTCTCTGGAATGCAGAGCAGGGCCATGCAGATACGTGGGCTTTTGTGGTCATAGGGGAGAAGTTCGGCGATGCAGAACCACATACTCTTGAAGTCATAGGGTGGACAGCTCAGGAAGCGCACTACGATTGCCAGAGTGCACACTTTCTTGGTGCTGAATACCTTGGCTCACACATAGCAGAACGTGAAGCACTCACATGGGCAGGATTGTGGAGATTAGCACAGAACATTCAGACTCCTACCATTTTCAGGTCGGACTCTCAAATCTCTTCACGACCGGCCACTGGAGAAATCGGCAGCTCTGATGATACTATATCATTTCGCTGCTTCCGAGGAGTTTTCCAGGCTCTTGAAACAGCCTTGCCAGAGCACTGCCGTCGTATTGAACACATTCCAGGCCATTGTGATGAGCCCTTCAATGATATGGTGGATTGGCTGGCCAGTTCAGAGAGACAGAAAAGCTTCCATTTTCCCAGGCAAGCTCTCTCCATGCACAGCTGGCGACACTTCCTTCCACATTTTTGGGTCCTGCTGAGTCACTCTGATGGAATGCCACCCGCTTGTGCCACAGGATTACATGCCTTTGCACCTGAGTTGCCCCAGCTCCATGAACATCAACAAGAAGCTCAGGGCATACAGAAGAGCCGAGACGAACACCATGTTCTCGATCTGTTCTCGATCTCAGAGCGAGCATAGGCTCAGCCAATGTTGCTTCAATGTATAATGGCACCTGGGGGCATGCGGGCAAAACCATCTACCAGAGACAACAATTTCAGGCTATGCGGATGCTTTTTCTTGGCTTACAAGAAACCCGCACTCCTGAGACATTCAGCACGGCAGATGGTGTTCTGCGTTTTGGTTCTGGTCATGCTGAAGGAGGACTCTATGGTGTGGAATTATGGGTCAATCTCCACATTCCTTTCGGAAGCATTGACAAGGAGATGCTCTACTTTCAAGCAGCTGATTTCCAAGTATTACACCGTGATCCAAGGGTGCTTTTTGTCAGAGCTGAAAATCAATATATTCAATGGGCCATCATTGCTGGTTACGCACCACATTCTGGACTTGCTGCTGAACA